GGCTGCCCCTCGGTGTGCTCCTGCAGTAACCAGTTCAGCAAGGTGGTGTGCACGCGGCGGGGCCTGGCCGAGGTGCCCCTGGGCATCCCCTCCAACACGCGGTACCTCAACCTGATGGAGAACAACATCCAGCGCATCCAGGCGGACACCTTCCGCCACCTGCACCACCTGGAGGTGCTGCAGCTGGGGCGCAACGCCATCCGGCAGATCGAGGTGGGGGCCTTCAACGGCCTGGCCAGCCTCAACACGCTGGAGCTCTTCGACAACTGGCTGACGGTGGTGCCCAGCGGGGCCTTCGAGTACCTCTCCAAGCTGCGGGAGCTGTGGCTGCGCAACAACCCCATCGAGAGCATCTCCTCCTACGCCTTCAACCGCGTCCCCTCCCTCATGCGCCTGGACCTGGGCGAGCTCAAGAAGCTCAAGTACATCTCCGAGGGGGCGTTCGAGGGGCTGTACAACCTCAAGTACCTGAACCTGGGCATGTGCAGCATCCGCGACATGCCCAACCTGACGCCGCTGGTGGGCCTGGAGGAGCTGGAGATGTCCGGGAACCACTTCCCGGCCATCAAGCCGGGCTCCTTCCACGGCCTCCGGTCGCTCAAGAAGCTGTGGATTATGAGCTCCCAGATCAGCCTGATCGAGCGGAACGCCTTCGACGACCTCACTTCCCTGGTGGAGCTCAACCTGGCCCATAACAACCTCACCTCCCTGCCCCACGACCTTTTCGCCCCCTTGCGGTACCTGGTGGAGCTGCACCTGCACCACAACCCCTGGAGTTGCGACTGTGACATCCTCTGGCTGGCCTGGTGGCTGCGGGAATACATCCCCACCAACTCCACCTGCTGCGGGCGCTGCCACGCCCCTACGCACCTGCGGGGCAAGTTTCTGGTGGAGGTGGACCAGACCACTTTCCAGTGCTCAGCCCCCTTCATCATGGATGCCCCCCGGGATCTAAACATTTCGGAGGGGAGGGTGGCGGAGCTCCGGTGCCGGACGCCCTCCATGTCCTCCGTGCGGTGGCTCCTGCCCAATGGGACGGTGCTGAGCCACGCCTCCAACCACCCACGGATCTCCGTCCTCAATGACGGCACCCTGAACTTCTCCCAGGTGTTCCTGGCAGACACCGGGGTGTACACCTGCATGGTCACAAACGTGGCGGGGAACTCCAACGCCTCGGCCTACCTCAACGTGAGCACGGCCGAACTCAACACTTCCAACTATAGCTTCTTCACCACCGTCACTGTGGAGACCACGGAGACGTCGCCCGAGAATATCTTCCCCAAGTTCACCAAGCCCGTGCCCACCACGTCCACGGGCTACCAGCCCGCCTACACCACCACCACCACCGTGCTCATCCAGACCACCAGGACGCCCAAGCAAGACCCTGCCTCAGACCCCAGCAGCGGCGGGGGCGGCGGCGGCAGTGGCAACAGCAACGACAAGATGCAGACCAGCCTGGACGAGGTGATGAAAACCACCAAGATCATCATTGGGTGCTTCGTGGCCGTGACGCTGCTGGCGGCAGCCATGTTGATTGTCTTTTACAAACTCCGCAAACGGCACCAGCAACGGAGCACCGTGGCCGCTGCCAGGACCGTGGAGATCATTCAAGTGGACGAGGACATGCCGGCTGCGGCCGCGGGGGCGGCCACCACCGCCGGCGCGTCGACCACGTCGGGCGTATCAGGTGAGGGGGCAGTGGTGCTGCCGGCAATCCACGACCACATTAACTACAACACTTACAAACCGTCCCGCGGGGCCCACTGGACAGAAAACTGTCTGGGGAACTCTCTGCACCCGACGGTCACGACCATTGCCGAACCTTACATAATCCAGACCCACCCCAAGGAGAAAGTGCAGGAGACTCAAATCTGAGCCCCCTCCTCCCCCCTGCCACCACCTTTTGAGACATGATTTAAAAATGCAATAGAATGCACAAAACAGAAACAGACATCCATTTTTGTACAGGGGGGGTCGAGGGGGCTGTTTTCTCCCCCTTGTATATGCTTATATATTAAGTCTTTGGGCTGAGATACGAGAAGATTATATTAAAAAAAATATAAAGAACGCCCTATTTTCTAACTTGAAGTTCTATTTAAAAGGAGGCAGCAAGTACAGTTCCACCCCCTCCCAAAAATGAAATGCCCTTCTCCCCCCCCCACTCCTAGAGACAGCAGTTGCCATTGTGACCTTCCAGAATGAGACCTATTTAAAGCAAAAGCGAGCGAGAGAACGATCCAGAAGGCCAAGCCTTACATCTGGGGAAGACATTTTATTCTGTGCACTGACCATTCACCACTGCAATGGTTAAAGACAATGAAAACCCACAATA